ATTATAAACATTCTAGATGTAAAATCAGCATTTGATGTAGTCCAACACACTATACTGATGGATAAAATGCTTAATCAAGAAATCCATCCAATATATTGGAAAATACTAACAGACCTATATACTGACTTGACTACAAAAGTTAAATGGCTTGATGGCATAAGTAATCCTTTCCAAATCAAACAAGGTGTAAGACAGGGAGGAATTCTATCAACCCATCTATACAAAATCTTTGTCCAAGATTTTCTGGTAGAATTGGAACAAAATTCAATAGGATACCAGTTAGGAAATATATACGTAGGATCACCAACTTGCGCCGACGATATAGCCTTTATATCGAATGACAAGCATGAACTACAACTAATGCTAAATGTGCTCGGTAGATATGCAAACGAACACCACTACAGTATACATCCAACAAAAACCCAAATCATAGATTGTTCTAAAACAAAAAGTGATTACAACTGGAAACTAGATGGAAATGATGTAACAATAGCTAAATCAGGTGTACACCTAGGACTAACGAGAGCTGAAAGCAACGAAAGTCACATAAATGTACAAGAGAGAATAAAATTAGCGAGAAGAACTAAATACGCCCTCATGGGATCAGGCTGTCATGGTACAAACGGTCTAGACCCACCAACCTCATATCAAATTTACAAAACCTATGTCATTCCAAGGTTAATTTATGGACTAGAAGTGCTACCTCTAACAAGATCTGATATCGAACAGTTGGAAAAATTTCATAGAAAAAATCTTCGCCTGTTACAATCTCTTCCAGAAAGAACCGCTAATTCGGCAGTGTTACTACTGTTAGGAGCTCTACCAATAGAAGCAGAAATTCATAAAAGAGCTTTGTCTCTCCTACATGCACTACTAACATGCGAAAATGAAAAAATACATCAGCTTATGGAAAGACAAATAACAACAAATTTTGATAACAAAAGTAGCTTCTTTTCAAGAGTTATGGATATATTAGATATGTATGAACTTCCAACCATTATACAACTTCAAGGCAATGTTCCAAAGAAAGAACATTGGAAAAGAACCACCAAGCTGACAATAGACAAATTTTGGAAGGACAAGACCTTAACAGAATCTGAAAGAAAATCTAGCTTAAAGTTTATGAATAAGGAAAACTTCGAGATCAATAAACATCATAAAGTCTGGAAAGTAAAACATTTGCCTCGTTTTGAACTTAGAAAAGCAATAATCAAGACTAGAATGTTAACTGGAACATACATACTTCAGGCAGACAAACATAAATTCACTCCCTATACAGTAGAACCAATATGCCAATTATGTAAAACTGACAATGAAGACATAACTCATTTCCTGACAACCTGTCCCATACTTAGTACTACGAGAGAAAAATATTTCCTTGATATAAGAAAAGCGATCACTGATAAAATCACACCAGCAAAATGGAACTGCACCTTCATGAACAAAACTGCAATAGTACAACTGCTAATAGACTGTTCAAAATATAAGGAGCTATTTGATAACTGTGAAAAATTCATGGAAAATATTGAAAGCAAAACCAGAAATATGTTATTCCAAATGCACATAGAAAGATTGAAAATTATGGACAACAAATAGCAAGACACATATTGCATATACGTATATAAATATATACATATATCTTTAAGTGGAGGAAATGACAATCAAATGAGAATAATGATTATCATAAGTGACATATATATGTAGGACTCTAAAGTGCGATGGGGACGCTAAAGTACGATGCTCACGCTAAAGTGCGATGGTCGGCGCTAAAGTGCGATGCCTCCATACGCTAAAGTCCGATGGTCCGCGAAAGTATAGACGTATGAAACGTAGTTGGATTATGACGCTAACAGTCGTTTATACAAACCAAAAATGAACATGCCGGAAGGTAAATTAAGAATATTTGATTAACAACTTTTAAACCAAATGTCCATGACTTAATTTCAGACCTAACTGTGCTTTGTCGGCTGAAGCAAATGTGTTGTTTTTTCGTGTGCTAGAAGAATGACTTGTGTCCTGCAGTCGACCATTTTACTATATAACTACAAAATAGCATACGCATATGTATCCTGTATCCTACTTCTATTGGAAGCGGACGGATACATTTAAATCATTGTTTACGTTGCAGTTTACTTTGCAGTCCCCGTTAAAATATTGTCGATTTTATTGAAAAGTAACGTCGGTAGAATTATAAATTGTCGGCTAAAACATTAGTTTGTACATTGTAGGAAAATATAACATGTATTTGTACTCGCTACGAAAAAGGAGAAAGCTCGGAGAACATCGCCTTTCTCTCTCATTTAGATTAAACCTTAAACAAATAAATGTTACATTATCCGACAATGAATGAATATTTTATTTGTAATTTACAATGACGACTGTAAGGGGAGGTGTTCACATTAGTGATAGACTGTGTGAACGGCAAGTTACACCAATTATCCAAATATTTAATACGCCCGAACTGTTAAAAATTCATTTACATGAAATATAGTACTTTGTGACACCTAAATTACCGTTTTAGCAATTATTACGTGGTCGATGTTCTAAATTTAGAAACACACACTTAAGCCTACCGGTAAATTATAAAGCCTATCACATATGTTATACCATACTAGCTTTTGCAAAAAGACTATTTTTTAACATCCATGTACTATAACGTGTTAACCCCTTTAACCTTACCCTTTTGGTCCATCGCACTTTAGCGTGATATACCATCGTACTTTAGAAAACAATTAACCATCGTACTTTAGCGTGAGACACCATCGTACTTTAGCGTAGACCATCGCACTTTAGCGTGACCATCGCACTTTAGAGTACCATCGCACTTTAGAGTCCTACATATATACCAACACAGAGTCTGTCATTTAATAATTGTAAGAAATTTAAATAATTAATAAGCATTCCTATTTTTTAACTCACTAATACATTTATGATAGGGTCCAGATCATGTAAATATCCTTTTAAATTTACTGATGGTGACAAAACAAGCTTCTATTACTTTATTATGATTTTTATATATACATTGATCATGAAGTACATATAACATTCCACTGAGAAAACCTGCCTTTTTAGATTTTACTAAATTCTTACATCTTAACTTATTATTTTAATACATAGATCTTACTAAATAAAACCTCCTTTTATTGTATCTTTTATGCATATTAAAAAGCAAATTCAAATGAAACATATTTTTAATTATAAATAAAACTGAGATACATACATACATGTAAGTGAATCTAATTGTATGGTAGACTAATTTATAACAAAAAGGTCCATGTAAATATGCCTTGCATGACACTCTTATTGTTTATTTATATGTGCTGTACATATGTTGGAAAAAGATCATTTTTGTTTTATCCTTTTAAATTTTAAAGTTAAGGCAAAACTCCATATATATTTGGAGGTGCTCCTAATTAAAGGAGGCTGATACTAAGAAGAAGAAGTTACCGTTTAGTACAAATAAAGGTTGGATTAAAATGAAAACCTGTAGTTTCCAACAAATTCTATCGTTTTGAAAAAGCAAAAACATGGAAAGAGGTGTTTGATAAAGTGTGTGATGACGATTTCATGCTACGGAAAACTGATGAAATTTGTGTGACTGTCTCTGATCGATCGGGACACTCGTTTGAGCCCGATTTTGAGGAACCAATCCAAGTTGTTCAGGAATTTGAATCGGCATTAAAATTTGATTAAAATGATATTATTCTGACAGAAGTTCTGTCAACAGTGTTTTGTTCAAGTGTTTTGTAATTTGAATTTTGTATTCAAATAAACTTCTTCCACTCTTCTTCTTAGTATGAGCAGAGACATATATACACATGTGTATATATGTCTCTGATATATGTGTCTGACAATTTATACAAAACTCTATAATAGTCTTTCATTTTAAAAGTTGTTTACAAGGTCAAATAATTTTTTCCCCTATTTTTCTCTAAAAGTACCAAAAAAAAAGAATTTCCCTACCTACCTTCCCACACCTGAGAATGGTGGGTAGGGTTTGGGCAAACAGAAATATTTTTAAGTCTGGCCTTATGAAGTTTTCATATGTCCATTGTCCATGGTTCAGTGACTACTTGAAAAAAAGTTCAGATTTTTTGTAATGTTAATTTCTCTCTTATTATGAGTAATAGAATAACTACATTTGGTATCTGTGTACCTTGCAAGGTCCTCATGCCTGTCAGACAGTTTCCCCTTGATCTTGACTTCATTTCATAGATCAATGAACAAGGTTAAGTTTCTGTGGTCAAGTCTATATCTCAGATACTATATAACTGTATTACTGTATAAGCAATCAGTCTACTATATTTGGTATAAGAAATGATTGTAAGGTGTACATGTCCAACTGGCATATGTCATCTGACCTTGACCTCATTTTCATGGTTCAGTGATTAAAGTTAAGTTTTTGTGTTTTTGTCCGTTTTTCTAATACTGTATGCAATAGGTCAACTATATTTGGTGTATGAAAATATTTTACGATGTACATGTACATATCAGTCTGGCAGGTTTTATTTGATCTTGACCTCATTTTCACAGTTCATTGCTCAATGTTAATCATATGACCTTGACCTCATTTTCATGGTTCATCGGTCAATATAAAGTTGTCATGGTTTAGCCTGTTACTTGTATACTATAAGCAATAGGTCAACTATATTCAGTTTATTGAATGATTGTAAGGTGTATATGTATTTCTGGCTTGGTTTATCTGAACTTGACCTCATTTTCTTGGATCATTTTGAGTTTATGTGATACTTGTAGTAAAACTTTATATTTAGGACTATCCACATAAAATCAATGGTAATTATAGCAGGTGAGACATTTCAGTGTGTGCACTCTTGTGAAAATTATAATGATTCCATAGTATAGCTTTGTTTACCTGTAAAACCTTTTAAAAGCTGAAATACATGTACATCATGTACATATAGAGAAACATTTACCAGGTCAGTGATTCAGGCTACTCCGAGGCTCTAGTTTGACTTCTTAGATCTGTCATTTCTTTTCAGAATGTATTCCATGAAACCAATAGGCTATGTTAGTTCTGTATTTACCTACAAGAATGGAACACCCAGACAACCAGCACTGTGTCCATATGCTAGAGGAACTATGACAATTGAGAAAAGTATCTTCACTAATCCCGAACACTCTCTAGAAGATTTGGAGGAATTTTCACATGTTTGGTAAGGTTTAGGAATCATAAGTATTCATGGAAAAAAACCACAATACAATGAAAAAAGGTATGAGTAAAAAAAAGGCAGAAAACACCATCTGTGACCATGTGAAAATAAGAAAGCTAACAAAACACAACATAGAAAGCTAAAGACATGGGGCTGAACTCAGATTCTCTTAAATATGTGAGAAGTTTTTGCTCTGGCTGCTGCACTTGAAGTGTTGCTCATGACAAGTCCAGTGATAAGTCATTGTGTCCATGGTGATCTTTGTCAGAGATATTTGGTAACAGTCAATTTACATGACCTAGTCATCATTGTCACATGATTGTAATTTAGAACAAAATAGATTAATTCAACTTTACTAATATGAACCCAAATCTTTAATCCACACATTCTTAATTTATTATCAAGTTAAAACTTAGGTTAATATTTATTGTCTCTAAATCAAAAGTAGCATGATTGATTCTTATGAATGACCAAGTTAAGATCTTTAAAATCAATTTTAAACTGCTGCCTTTGACAAATAGTTTTTAAATGTTTTGACACAACAGATATAAAATGTCTTGTAGTTCATACTGTAATAGTGTTGATACATGTTCATTTATCATAGGGTCATGCAAGTTGGGAAGATCCTCATAAATTGGGTATTACAGATGTGACTGAATGATTTTAGAAATTTATCTAACCAGCAGACGTTACTTCCTTCATTGAAATACTATTTTGATTTAATATCTTTTATTCATAAAAATTGAGAATTCATTATGAGAAGTATGTCTATCTTTAATTAAATCTTTTTTCAGAATTAGTAAAGTAAAGTTTAAAGAATAGGACTTTAAAATTTGACATCATAAATTTTGTAGACAAACAGAAAACATATGATTTTAATATTTTTCAACATTACAAAAAATTCAAGGGTGGTGCTAGAATTCAAAGTTTGTGGAACATCATCCCTGAATAGCCTATGCTTATCTTTGAATATCCTATGCTGATCCTTGAAATCTTTAGTTTATTTATAATTTCAGGTTGATGTTTGTATTCCACAAGAATAATAATAGGTTTACAAAGGCTAAAGTGAAACCCCCCAGACTAAATGGGAAAAGAGTAGGTGTGTTCTCCACAAGATCTCCCTATAGACCCAATCCTATAGGACTTACACTAGCTAAACTAGATAGTGTCGAAGGTAAGACCTCATACAAAACTAGTCCTATAGGACTTACACTGGCTAAACTAGATAGTGTCAAAGGTAAGACCTCATACAAAACTAATCCTATAGGACTTACACTGGCTAAACCAGATAGTGTCGAATGGAAGACCTCATACAAAACTAATCCTATAGGACTAACACTGGCTAAACTAGATAGTGTCAAAGGTAACACATTATGACGTTAAAATTTAGATACCATTTTTTTATACTTCAGGGATTGTAATCTCTATATAATTTGTCCTGAAGATGCTGATCTAATCGGCGAAACTAGTCGACACAATAAAACTTACAGTTCACTAAAGTGTTGTTGTCAATCCAGTGGTATTTAATCCTATAGGAATAACACTGGCTAAACTAGATAGTGTCGAAGGGAAGACCTCATACAAAACTAATCCTATAGGACTTACACTGGCTAAACTAGATAGTGTCAAAGGTAAGACCTCATACAAAACTAATCCTATAGGACTTACACTGGCCAAACTAGATAGTGTCGAAGGTAAGACCTCATACAAAACTAATCCTGTAGGACTAACACTGGCTAAACTAGATAGTGTCGAAGGGAAGACCTCATACAAAACTAATCCTATAGGACTAACACTGGCTAAACTAGATAGTGTCGAAGGAAAGACCTCATACAAAACTAATCCTATAGGACTAACACTGGCTAAACTAGATAGTGTCGAAGGGAAGACCTCATACAAAACTAATCCTATAGGACTTACACTGGCTAAACTAGATAGTGTCAAAGGTAAGACCTCATACAAAACTAATCCTATAGGACACACTAGCTAAACTAGATAGTGTCAAAGGTAAGACCTCATAAAAAACTTATCCTATAGGACTTACACTGGCTAAACTAGATAGTGTCAAAGGTAAGACCTCATACAAAACTAATCCTATAGGACACACTGGCTAAACTAGATAGTGTCGAAGGGAAGACCTCATACAAAACTAATCCTATAGGACTAACACTGGATAACTAGATAGTGTCAAAGGTAAGACCTCATACAAAACTAATCCTATAGGACACACTGGCTAAACTAGATAGTGTCGAAGGGAAGACCTCATACAAAACTAATCCTATAGGACTAACACTGGCTAAACTAGATAGTGTCAAAGGTAAGACCTCATACAAAACTAATCCTATAGGACACACTGGCTAAACTAGATAGTGTCGAAGGGAAGACCTCATACAAAACTAATCCTATAGGACACACTGGCTAAACTAGATAGTGTCGAAGGGAAGACCTCATACAAAACTAATCCTATAGGACTAACACTGGCTAAACTAGATAGTGTCAAAGGTAAGACCTCATACAAAACTAATCCTATAGAACTTACACTGACACATCCATACAAAGATACAAACCTAATCCTCTTCAACTAACACTGGTCAAACTGGATAATGTGGAAAGTAAGACTTCTCCATACAGACCTATCCCTATAAAGTTAATACTGTTTGAACTAGATAATGTGTAAGGCAAGACTTCTCCATACAGAACTAACACTGGCTAAACTGGATAGTGTTGAAAGTAAGAACTATTCAATCCAACCTAATACTGTACATAGGGTTAACACTGGCTTAACAGAATGATACTCAAGAACTATGGTACTAGTTGACATCCCTAGTGTTAAGAGTTTCCCGACCAACCCTAATTTAAAGCGGCATTTATAACTTTTTTATGAGGTTTCTTCAAAAAAAATTTCACAAATTTGATCAATAGTCATAAACGCTGACAATCCTGACATGTTTAATAAAATATTTAATGTAATTGTAGATTAATGGGTTGCGTTGTGTATTTTGATCGTAAGCTTAACTAAGGCGTTACAGATAGAACTATGTCTGCCATTATAAGTTTCTAATCCATAAACATAATCGTACATCACAATAACGCGACGTCACAAAGATAGCGGCCGCACCGCAAAAGGGTACGTTTAACGTTAGCGCAATTCTTAACAGTAATAAATCAACCTTACATCATCAGGCGCGTAGCAACCCGTACGCAAAAACGCAGTTGTGTACACATCGGAAATTTTACAAAAATAAAAATATGGTAAATCTAGTAAGAATAAAACTAAAGTAGTAAATTAAATTAAAAACTATCTTAAAAACATGTTAATAATCACTTTGTACCTATATTCCGTTCCAGAAATTACTTTTAATTTACGGAACCAGCATTATGATTATGTTGCTGATGCAAACAACTAAAATGGTCCTCGAGGTGTCAGAAAACAATTCTATGCCTCCTTACCCAGTCCTGACATCTTTTCTGAAGATTTCAAAATAACTAACGAAATAAAATATCATGACGTTTTAAAGAGACCATGGACAACGATTCATTCTCATGCCGGATTTTCATTTTTTTTTATCAACGTTCATGGAAGAAATTATTTCACGTTCACCGTGAAATTGTTATTCCTTCTTTGTATTTAAGGTTTTTTCCGTGCAAGTACCACCCTTTACCACCCTTTTTAACCTAAACTAACTAGCATTGAATATTATTTTTAATCTAATTTAATCAAGCTCAACCCACTTCACATTAGAAAATCCAAATTCCTAAGCCAACAGCACTTGTTTGTTTTTTTCTAATTAAATTTTTTTTTTCAATTTTTTTTTTTCAAAAGTTGACTTGTTACTCATGAAAATAAGATTTCGGTGAGGTCATTTTAAGTCCCAGGAAATTACGAGAATGCAGGATTATGCATCATTTACTCAGAGCTTCTCTGGGCCTTAAGCGGCCCCCAAACCCCCTGCCGTTTGACTTCCTCCTCTGGCATTGAGTACACATCATATTGGCCTAGCTATGCCCCTGCATCATTGTATATTCTCCTTATAACTGTTCATTGACAAATGGCCAACTCCCTGCAAATCAATGTGTACAATTGACTTACTTTGGACCTAATTATGGTCATGGGACTTTCATGAAAATGACAGTTTTCTCCTCAAACTACTGGTTGCAAGTAATACCCATTTCAGAAAAGCAATTATGGTTCCCTGCAATGAAGAGCAATTCTGAAACTAAAGGTGATAAGCCTACAACATGTACACATAATTATTTTTGACATTTTGTTCAGAATGCGAAGTTGTATCTGTAGCTACCTATATTTTTTTTCTACTTCAACCCATGTTCAATGAAAACATGTTAAATGGAATGTACTATAAAAATTGTGTAAAGGGGAATTATATGCAGTGCTTTTCTTTGTAACTTATGTGACAATTTTCTGCCACGAATAGACAGTATGAGAATAGCAAGTAACCAAAATTGTTTGTACCAAAAAGTTAGTCAAATAACAAAATATTTGTAATCTTTTATATGTTGGATGAAGAAAGGCTTAAAATAGACAAGACATTTATTTTAACAAAGCATTATGATTACAAGAAAAATTACCAGGTAATATCTGCTTCTCACTATTACTCATTATTGCAGGGCACCAGTTTTGGTTTCCAAGAAAGGAAATAACTTGTATCAGAATACAATTTTATAGGCAAATACAGGGTCTAAAAATCACATTCTAGAAAGGGCTACAGAAAATATATAATGAAAATAAAGCATCTGCTGGAAAACAGTGTGAATGGTTTTAAATTGGCAGAGAAAAAGAACATTCAAATATTCTGGTTTTATTACCTGGGATAATTTGCCAAATGATATTAAAGAAACAAATAATTTAGATACATTTTAGATCAAATGTTCAAACAATTTTTTAACTTTACAGAATGAAGATACTTGAATATAATGTATTTTTCCTCTATTGAATGGATATATATGTGCTTACTCAATATTGAAGCTACTTTTTATGTATTTTATTTGTTTTTATTTTTTTTCTATTTGTATAAATAGATTTTGAAGGCCTCAGGGAAGATTAACATGTAATTTTTAAAGGAGTTACTTTGAAGTTCAATAAATAAAGAGTTTTATTATCTATTTATTATTTATTATTTAGAAAACAAGTAGTATTATTTAAATTAAAGAATTAAAATATGAATTTGTTTTGTCTTTACAGGCTCCATGCTCCATTTAAGTGGTATTGATTTATTAGATGGTACTCCAGTTCTAGACATAAAACCATATATACCTTCATATGATATCCCACAAAATGTTCAAAATGATCCTGAAAGTTGCTTGAATACAAGGAGAACAAGTGGCGAGGCATTGGAGGATAAACCAAAGGAAGTTTTAAGACTAAAGATTTTTCATTTAAACCAAGAACAAAACAACTCTGACAATTCTTTGTGCCAAGAGAAAAGTGATGAACAAGTTGATTGTAAACAAACTGATAATGTATGTAACCAAGCAGACACTTGTGAACAGTCTACATTACATGTCGGTGCTTCAGAATTTCCTTTAGATTTAGGCCTGAATAGTGAGTTAAAGACATATGATGATACTCAGGTTAATCAGTTGTCCAGTCCTGTAGACCGTGAAAATGTGATAAATAACAAAGAAGGTGACATATTTACAGAAGCATTTAATACAGACAGCACAAAAACTGCTGATTGGATAGAAACCCCACCTATTGATAAAATATCAGTTAGATTTACAAATCTTGCTCAGGAACAACTAAAACTGTTTTCATCATCAGCAGCATCTGACTTTTGTCTGAAATATTTAAAATCAGGAATAGAAGTCAGTAAAGCTATAAGTGACATACTTTGTCAGGATCCACGGTCAGTTTACCGTAGAAAACACTGTGTTGATAGTTTATATTACTTTGTTGTAGATATTGTCCATGTTACAGCATGGTTTGACAAACAAGTAGCTGAAGTTGTTAGAATTCAACCAGTTAGTCATGCTGAACATTATAAAAATTCTTAACACTGTTTCATGCTTTTTATACGACCACAAAAAAAATTTGCAGTCGTATGTTGGTATGACATTGGTGTCGTCGTCGTCGTCGTCCGAAGACACATTGGTTTTCGCACTCTAACTTTAGTTTAAGTGAATGGATATCTATGAAATTTTACCATAAGGTTCAATACCACAAAAGGAAGGTTGGGATTGATTTTTGGGGTTATGTTACCAACAGTTAAGGAATTAGGGGCCAAAAATAAGCATTTTTGTAACTTCCAGACATAACTTGTGTGTTAGTGTATGGATCTCTCTGACATTGTACCACAAGGTTCCATATCACAAAGGGAATGCTGGGATTGATTTTGGGGGTAATTGCCTCAAAATTTTAGGAATTAGGGGGCAAAAAACAAGCATTTTTCTAGTTTCATGACAATAACTTGTGTGTAAGTGTATGGATCTTTCTGAAATTGTTCTACAAGGTTCCATATCACAAAGGGAAAGCTGGAACTGAGTTTGGGGGTAATTGCCCAAAACGTTTAGAATAAGGGGTCAAAAATAAGCATTTTTCTAGTTTCCAGACAATTACTTGTGTTCAAGTGTATGGATCTCTCTGAAATTTTACTACAAGGTACCATACTCTAGAGGGTAGGCTGGGATTGATTTTGGGGGTAATTGCCTCAAAATTTTAGGAATTAGGGGCAAAAAACTAGCATTTTTCTAGTTTCAGGACAATCACTTGTGTGTAAGTGTATGGATCTTTATGAAATTGTACTACAAGGTCCCATATCACAAAGGGAAAGCTGGGTTTGAGTTTGGGGGTAATTGCCCTAAACATTTAGGAATTTGGGGCCAAAAAGGGGCAAAAAAACAAGCATTTTTCTAGTTTCCAGACAATAACTTGTGTTCAAGTGTATGGATCTCTCTGAAATTGTACTGCAAGGTACCATACCACAAAGGGAAGGCTGGGATTGAGTTTGGGGGTGCTGAAACATAAGGGGGTTCAAAAAATTTGGGGGAGGGATTTTTTTTTCCTTTTTTTCCTTTTTTTTTCTTTAAAATTTTACATTTTAAATTGGTTATTTCTGATTGATATATAAGAGCAAATAATAATGATATGGTTTGAATAGGTAAATTAAATTTTTATAAGTTCTTAGACCACATTCATTCTGTGTCAGAAACCTATGCTGTGTCAAATATTTAATCACAATCCAAATTCAGAGCTGTATCAAGCTTGAATGTTGTGTCCATACTTGCCCCAACTGTTCAGGGTTCAACCTCTGCAGTCGTATCAAGCTGCACCCAGTGGAGCATTTTATTATTTTTTATTATGGCCAATTATATAAACAAGCAATTTATCATGTTACTTTAATAATATGAGTGAAAAACATACTGGTTTATTTTATACAGAGAATGCTTCAAATTTGCATATGATAGAGCATATTTTAGAAGTAGAACAGCCAATGCTAGTATGTTTGATGGCACTGAGCATGCTGAGAAATTATTAAGAGTGCTTTCAGTAAATGTTTGAATTCTTTTGTAGTTAAGTATCTTGGGTTTTTTTTCCGACTGAATTGATGAATTTATTTTTATTTTCTTAATTTTGTTGTCTCTAAATGCAACATTTATTCTTCTGTCAAGCAAAATGATAGTGTAAGGTTTAAGTACTCACACAACAAACATTTATCCGTATGTTTGATGTGAGTTTGCAATCTTGCCTGTTACTATTAGTATCTGCTAATGATCAAATTTACTCTGTCTTGAACATCACTTTTCTATCATTTACCAATCATTTTAAACATTTCTATCTTAACTGCCTCCCAGAAACAATTTAGGCAATAAAAAAGTAAGAGGATACCAATAGGACAATCAAAACTCCATGTTGAAGACCGGTAACACCATTCCAGGCCAAAAGTAAAAAGATAAACAGACAGCTATCAAAAAAACACTCAACTAAACTAAAAACTGAGTAAGTGAAATCGTTCCAAATAAATGAAGTATAACTTGACTGCTTATAAAGGGTTAATACTTCCTGCTCTACATCTGACACCCATTGTATTATTTTGGTTTAAAGTCTGTCACAGCCAATGAAAGGTCATCATTCTAACTGTTATTGTAGCCAGTGGGTGGGTTAATGAATTGAATATGGTGATATGTTCCATTATAATGGTCCTTAATGGAGATACGTTTTGTTTTACAACCAATATTTAACTAAAAACATATGGCAGATTCCATATAAGAAATTGAAATGTCTGTCAAAATGAATAAATAAATGAAAATAATAATAACTGTTATTTTAAAGATAATCTGTGAATGTTTTGAGGAATAATGATGTTAGAAGAAATTATAAAAATAAGTTTTGGATATGATTGTTTCCGTTTAAAGTAGAAATGATTAAAACAAGTTGAAAAAATGCAAAAATTTTGACAGAATTAACTCCCATTTTTTTACACAATGTTTATGTGTTGCAATGCTTTATGTTGATACTTGTATACTGGTATTTACTAGTGTAGTCTGGTTATTCAAACATCCCTGTTCCCAAATTTGTTACTTTTTTTAGTCAAAAACATCTGTGATATATATATTTTTTCACTTTCAAATATCTTGCTTTATAGCTCAGTGTCTGTCAATAAATCTTATGTCAGGAACATCGCTGTAAAAACTTTCAAAATCATTGTAGGTTCCAATATATGCCAGTTTAAACTGTAAGTCATGCTGTGCATAAGAAAAAACACATGTTGATTCTTTCATTTAACTTTATTCAAGCAATAGTTTTAACTTATATGTTTCCTACATAAGATCTGTCAAACTTGTTTTCTTATGTCTGAAACATTTGAATGTGCTAACAGTTAAAGTTCTTTGACCTGTAGTGAAATCTTGTTAGATGTTAGGCTGCAGTATTTTCCAGGAGTTTTAAAAATGACTTTCAACTAGGATTTGATTTCCAATGTCAGTGAAAAAAAACAAATATATATTGTCCGTCAAAATATCTTATGTATGAAAAATCTTATGTCAGAATCAAGTCTGTCAAAATCTTATGTCAGAAACTCAATTTGTCTGTCAAATCTTATGTCAGAAATAATAAAGTCTGTCAAATCTTATGTCAGAAAGAATAAAGTCTGTCAAATCTTATGTCAGAAATAATAAAGTCTGTCAAATCTTATGTCAGAAAAAATAAAGTCTGTCAAATCTTATGTCAGAAAAAAATAAAGTCTGTCAAATCTTATGTCAGAAACAATAAAGTCTGTCAAATCTTATGTCAGAAACATAATATTTAAGGCTTCGTTTATTTAAAAAGGATGATGCTCATAATTTTTTTTTTGGTCAAATTGTCTTTATCTTTATTAGTAAAGCATGTATTCAAAAACAGAAGTTCATTGCTTATGATTTTTGCCTAACGTGCTTATGGGAGTTGTTTCACTTTCTTATATGGAATCTGCCATATGGCATGATTGGCAATGAGAAAACTACCCACCAAAGACGAGAAGACTAGGATGTGAACTAGACTTTTTAGTACAGTTTTCATAAACTGAATGTCCGAAGACTGTCTGGCACCAATGTAAGTGGATGTTGTGACTGGAATCAACTGTAGAAAGTCTGACTTATTGCACCGGTGTCTTCCTCGAATGCCAACATTTTATATGTTACCTATTCCTTGAATGCCAACAAAAATATTTCAATAGATGTTTATATAATAACAATAGGTGTTTCTATAACTATTTAAATGTTTTTATAAGTATTAAACTGTTAAAATTAATTAGTGAACTTGATAAAATTGAAACATATTATCACTTTTTGATCAGAAAAAAGAGTAGATTTTGGGGTTAAAATTATTATGAATTTTAAAGAAATAAAGAAAATTAAAACATTTTTATTTCTTTTTATTAAAAAAAAGATATTTTGGGAATGGAAATTTTTAATAACATAAGACATATATATATAAGAAATTTTAGTTAAATACAATTATTACAAACTAAAAAATGTGTATGGATAAGCTGATATGAAGCACTTTTTCAAGTTATTACATATATATATAGTCTTGTTATGTGCTGAGAGTGATTTTTTCAGAAAGACGGACGGACCTTTGACCTAGAAAGTTGTACATACATTATGACACACCCTCTAGTGTTGGTTAATATACAAGTATAAACTTTGAAATCATAACCGTTCTCAAGATATAGAGTGGACACGATCTTTACCATAGGACATGGGGTTGTCAGCTGAAACTAAAGTTTTTGACCTTGACCGTTGACCTTGGAAGTTGTACATACATAATGACGCACCCTCTGGTGTTGGTTGATATACAAGTCAAGTATAAACTTTGAAATCATAACGGTTCTCTTTAAATAGAGCGGATACAATTTGTTACGGACGGACAGACTGATTACAATAGGGCAAACCACCACTAGACAGGGGCCATAATAACACTTAGTAATCTTACACGAGATACAAAGTTTCAAGAAATTCCATCAAGTAATATGGGAGGATAATACAGCACACACAACTATAGAAATATTGAAAAGCAACATCAAAGTCCAAAGAGTCTAATGTAGAATTTGTGCAAACTGGAATTTCTGAAAAAATGTTAACTTTGTGATGCAACACTTTTCAAAGTTTCATTTTAAGAGAATCCATATTTGTGCAGTAACAGCAAACGATGGTTTTCAACAACTTGACAAACATGAACTAGATTTAGCTACTTGTAATTTTACCTATCTGTTTAATTAGTATGATTGTTTTGCTAAGCATGCACTTTTGTTGTGATAACTACTTACACCTATTCCTTGAACGCCAACATAATTTTACAGGTAAATTGTCGGTAGATCAAAGGATGTTGGCATTCAAGGAAACCATTGCACCATCATGTTTTATGACTTTGGTTATTTTACAACTGAGATGATGTGTACGATAGATCAGAGACATATGTCTCTGGATAGATCTAACCATTTTACAACTGAGATGATGTGTACTATAGATCTGACCATTTTACAACTGAAATGATGTGTACGATAGATCATCTGACCATTTTACAACTGATATGATGTGCGTGATAGATCTGACAATTTTAAAAGATTTGTAACAGGTATCTCACGGGGATCATTTGGTACATGCTAAGTACATAGCCACGTTCGGTCAGAATGAGAATGGGGGCGTCAAATTCGATGCCTCGTGTAGATAGTGCCACGCTCTCTGCACGTTAAGAACCTTAGCAACAATTCTTTGTAGGGTCCGTAGGTGGCCTGTTGCCAGGCAAATACTCTTATTTTACAGTGGTAGTCCAAAATTTCCCGACCTTTATCCCGGATGGCCTCTATTTATTGTTAATTTGTTGTCAACCTTTGCAACTGGACGTTAACACCAATCAATCAAATGTATCATGATGTTAAGCCTTATTTGATGTCAATATGCCATTAGAAGAATAGAAGTCTGTGGTTGTAATTGTCCATATTTCTTCTTTAGCTTGCCTCGTCCAGTGAACAATACATAAATCTTTAGCTTGCCAATTAAGTTATTAGCTCTTTACTTGCTATCAATAAAGATCAATCATTCCATGGAGCGTGTAAGAAAGAATACAAGTCAAGGTACACACGCGTGGCTTAGTTTTAAGGTCAGACCACCAATTCAAAATCCCTATCTATTCAACCAAATTTTGCAACTTTCACAGCTTTATAAATGTTTTACCTTAAGTTTAACTTCATAGAAACCAGGTATATCCTGAATCATACATGTATCACCTTTCTACATGCCAATTTTCAACCAAGGTTTAAAGTCTTGTTACGAAGATTAACTGTTCGAAACCCAAGTACTACTAAAAATAACCCCTGGTTTTCTGGAAATCTTAAATTTGTATACTATGGAGCGCATTTATCCTCAATTTGTAATGCAAACTCATGGACAAGTAAATTTTAGCTCAAAATGGTCTAAATATATTTCTCTTTCACCTAAAGTTTCTTCTTTTCTTCAAATTTGTTGGTTAGTTTAATAAACTATGACATCAAAAGCACTTTTTTTGTCAGGGAAGGGCTACTTTTACATACGGAGTGGGTGAATTGGTTGTCTGACACCTTAACCCGAACCCCTCCCATTCATATATTTCAAATTTGCGAAAAATATGACCCATGGATATATTTCATAGCAAAATAATAACCCATTTAATTATTTCTCATATATCAGACATATATATAATCAGACTGACATCTTAAAACGTTGAAGGTTATTTTACTGAAGCAAAAAAAAAAAGCTTCAGCCGATTGTTATCCACCTGGGAACAGTCATATTCGAGCGGTGCATAGTAAGTCTAGGGAAAGCTTCACTCCACCCCGCCACTGTACGGTTACAGTCATGGTTAACAGGGTTTATGTACACAATATTTTTATATTGGTGACAATT